TCCATCCCCCCGCAGCTCCCCGCGGACCCTCGCCTCCTGAGGGGCCAGACCCGACGCCCACTCCCCCCAGGAACAGGAGCAAGAGCCAGGCTTCTTTTACTTAAAAAAAAAAAAAAAAAAAAAAAAAAAAAAAAAATTTTATTCCAGAAAAACAAAACGTGCCCATTGCCACACACCCCCCCCACACCGGACAGACCTGGCTCTGCAGTGAAAAATTCAGGACGTTTCCCCTTTCCCGAAGGCCACAGTGCTCCCAGCCCAGCACAGAGACCCCGCTCCTTGGGACAGTCCCTCCACAAGAGCCTCCTCTACTCTGAGTCCGGCAGCAGCCATGACAAAAAGCAGGGTGGTTGTGCCGGGGCCACGGCCAGCCCCTCACCTCCACTCCTGCTGCAGCCCAGAGGCCCCACAGAGGGTCGTGGCACCCCCCGAGGGTCGTGGCACCCACGGAGGGTCACAGCACTTGCAGAGGGTCATGGCGTGTCGGCTGTCTCCCTCCCTGCTTCAGGCCCGCTGTCCCCACGTGCCTGTAGCTGGCTGTCCCCCTGAGGAGGGGGTTTGGGGGACTAAACTAGAGGGGATCAGCCCCACACGGAGGGACAGGGGCAGGACAGCGTGGGGCGCAGGACCCCCTCAACAGGGGCTCAGGGCTGGCTCCCCGGCACCTTCAGTGCTTGCACTGCGGGCCCATCTGCTCCAAAGAGGGCCGAGAGCTGAAATCCTGCCTTCCCAAAAGCTGACTGCGTGTGTGCCTGCCTGTGGCAGCTGCCCAGGAGAGCGGGACGCGGTCGGGGCAGGAACCGGCACCGTCGGCCTTTTCAGCTACGGCTGACCGATGAAACGCACGCATGCTGCTTGGTAAAACAGCCGCTGGAAAGAGGGGAGAGCTGATCCAGCAGAGGTAGCGGCTGGGCAGAGACCAGGTCTAACCGGGCAGGGGGTGCCAATGAGATCACCGGCTTAAAACAGAAAGAAAAAACAACCCCAAAACTGAGAGAAGCAGCATTGCTCATGAGGCTGTTTGGCGTTGACACGCTCCCCAGCCCACCCACGACGGAGGAGGCACGTTCAGCGTGGGGCACGCTGTGTTGTGGAGGGGAGGGCTCCCGGGGCTCCCCGTGGGGCTCAGCCGCAGCGTGTCCCCCTTGCCCTCCCCCACCACGGGTGACAGCCCCCCACCAGCCCAGGGGACAGCCCCGCTGCCTTCCCGTCTGTGCTTTGGCTCTGGGGAAGGGGTACCCCACTTCAGCTCCCCCCAGCCCCATTGGGACAGCCCACCGGCACCGCCGCCCGGCCCCTGCCGAACGAAAGGGAAAGGCAACAAAACAAAACCCACGGCACGAACGGAAAGGGGACTGCCGGGCACTGGCCCGAGGCTGCTGAGAGGGAGCGAGCCGCTCGCCGTCCCGTCGGCATCGCCCCCGCCGCGAGGCGCGAGCGCCCGCACGCTACAGCTCCGACTGCGAGCGGGAGATGCGCGGGCCCTTGCGGATCTCCTTCCGCTTCTCCTCCTTCTTCCTCCGCTTCTCCTCCTCCCGCAGCGCCTTCTGGAAGGTGTCGCCACTGGGGAAAAACTGCGGGATGACGGCAGGGGGTCAGCATGGGGGAGCCCCCACAGCCTCCCAGAGGCACGACCTCCCCCAAACCCATCGCACAAGCCCCGCGATGCCAGAGGGCTGGAGGCTGGATGCGGCACCAGGCAAACGGGGTCCCGATGCTCCCACGGGGCACGTGGCCACAGGTGGGGCGAGATGGCACCAGGCACCCGAAACCAACCGCAGCCCAGCTGGGGAATTTGATGCACGCGTTTTGGCCAAGCTCCCTCTGTGCTGGGGGGGGTTGGCCGCTCCCCACCAAGCCACCCGTTCCCTTTCCCAGCCGCCTGCCTGGAGCCACAACGAGGATAGGGAAGCCCACGGGGCAAGCCGGCGGCATTACCATCTTACCTCGGAGTGGTCCGTTTTAAAGGGATTGCGGTAATCAGGTGATTTCTCACTGATTCCCAGCTCCTGAGCCATCTGTGGAGCAAAGCGGAGACCGCGTCGGGGAGCGGTGCCTCCCCCCTGTGACCAGGGTCCCCTCCTCCCCACCAGCCCCCTTCGTGCTCTTCCCCCACCCCTCAGCCCAAGGACACCCCTCAGACATGGGGTACGCTCCCCCTGCCCTCCTTTTACCCCCAAAACCTCACTCCCCAACCCCAGCAGCAGAGTGGGGATGCGACGGGGGGGGACCAGGAGCCGTACCAGCCCCAGGACCTGGGAGTGGGGTCCCTGCTCGAACACGCCTGTCAGGTTGCAGAAGCCGATGCCCCAGCGGATGAGGCTGTTCCAGTTGGAGTTGCGGTCGAAGTAGTGGTGCACGATCTTGGGGAAGCGCAGGACGACGTCCCCGAAGAAGGCAGTGTTCTCCACCACGTGGGAGTATGCTGTGGGGACAGCCGCCAGCCCCGTCGGCACACGTGCCCCATTCCACTGGTGCCTACGTCCCCGCCGGGAGGTGGGGAGGCTGAGGGCGAACGGGTAGGCTCCCCAGTACAAACTGGTCAGAGAGGCAGCAACAGGGTCCCCGACAGACAGGGACCAGCCCAGGTCTGGTCTGGGTACACAGGGGTTTTGGACCTACCCCAGCGCCGGTCCCAGGAGGAACTTTGGCGATGCCCCAGAGCATTAGGAAAGGGAGGGGGTAAGGACCGGAGAGGACTCACCATCCTTTATCTTCTCGTCCTGAGGGAAAGGCCCATCTGGAGGCACATCAGCAGCGATGAGCACAGCACGGGAGTCCTCCAGCACCTGCCAGAGCCCTCAGTTACTGCCCCATCCTGCTGGCCCTTCCCCAAACCCTGGGGGTGCTGCCCCAGCTGCCCCACGTTGAAGCCCCATGGCGTCCCACCCTTGGGTCCTAAAGCCCACTGCCCACCCAGCTCTTCTCTTTGACCCCATGGAGGCCCCTCGGCCGTCCCTGCTTCTCCTGCCCACCCTCCCCAGGCCCACGGCACACCGAGCCTGGAGGGTGGCCCGTGCCGTGGCTCACTTTGAAGAGTCCCTTGAGCATGATGTCGATGATTTTGTACTGCTGGTTGATGTCATTGAGCTCGATCAGGTTCTTCAGTGCGTTCATCTGGTCCTTGCGCTTCACCTCAAACAGCTTCTTATCTGCACCACCGTCAAGGACGCTGTCGGTACGCTCCCACCATGCTCCTGCTCTCCCTCTCTGCCGGGCACCTGGCACCATCCTAGCCCCCCTAGTTCTCCACAAGGTGCCTGAGGGCTGGGGGGCAGCACCTAAGCCAGGATGAAACATGGGTTTCCAGCAAGCCCCTTTGCCCAGACACCCCAGCAGGGCACTTAAGGATGCTGGGCGCTCGTGGGGAGCTTTCTGCTTGCCAGTCCCTGCTCCAGCTGACGGGCTGGAGGATGAGCATGAACTCCCACCTTCCCCATGCGTGTTTCCACAAGCACATATATTAAATACCTTTTAATAATTTGCCTGTTCATCAGGGCATGCTGCCGTGTCCTAGGAAGGGCTTGCATTAGCCCACCTCCCTGTGGGTGATAAATGCCCGCGGCACAGAGGAGACTGAGTGCTGCAAGCCCAGGAGCCCTCTCCCATCATCCCAGCCAGCAATCCCAAAGCACTGCGACCCACAGGCGTGCTCTGCCACCCGGCTGACCACACTGCTCCCAAGAGCGGACTGGGAGACGTGCTTGGCGCCCAGCATGCTGGAGCAGAAAGGAAAAGCACCGCGCTTGGGAGGATGCCAGGCACTGCTGGAAAACCCACCTCCACTCCTTCACCAAGCCAGGCGCTTGGTTAGCAAACCTGGGAGCTCAGCTAAAACCCTTCTACAGAAGAGCAGAGAGGCAACTGCCCAGCGGTTCTGGGTCCTCTCTCTTCCACCCCCCTGCGCCCCTTTCCATGGTCTGACGCTTTGCCTGCGCGTGAGCTCCTTCCAGCCTCAGCAGGTGTGAGTGTGTACACCAGGACATGAGGGGCAGGCTGCAGAGAAGGATACATATTTCCAAGCCGGAGTCCACCCTCTGTTTTTCCAGGTCTGCGAAGCTGCCCCGGGACAGCAGCAGCGCCAGCAGAATGGAGCAGATGAAGAGAAAATCCATGTTGGCCATCACAGCCTGGAACAAAATGGACCAACAAAACCAATTACCAGCGAGAAGACTTACCAAAGGGAAAAGTCACAGGAGCCTCTCAGGACCAACAGCACATTGCCCTCGGCAGCAGGGTCCCTGCCCGCCTCTCCCTTGTCCCCACGATGGGTTTGCGGGAGATGGTGGCCAGAGCAGGGCCACGGGGCGATGCTGCAGCCGGCCCGCTCTCCCCTGCGAAGGAAGCCCTGGTCCCCCCCTCCTCTCTACCTGCCTCCTCTGCTGGCTGGGCACTGGCTAGGCCCCCAGGGATCTGGCTGAGCACTGACCCAGCAGAAAAAATTAAGTCCTACCCCTTCTCCAAAAAATAACAGCTAGCTTTTTGCTGGGTATGCAAGTTAGAGCAGCCAGCAACCGAAGCAGCAGGGCCGAAGGGAGGAGGAGGATGGCCGAGGAGATGAAATCCACCTCTCCTTCCAGCACCAGGCTCGACCATCTTACTTCACCTCTTGGGGTGCTGCTGGTACCTGGACCCTTCCCCTGGCTACAAGCCGGGTGCCAGCTGTGTGCCCCATGCTGAAAAGCAGCAGCTGGGTGATCTGGTGGTAATTCCCCCCTCGCCCCAAGCACGTCCCTCCCCAGATGATGCCTGAGGCTCTGCACGGATGTGGTCGGGCTGCTCCTGGCCACGAGGGTCCCTCAGACAGAGCCAATGCGGATAAGAGAGAGGCTGGAGGAGAAGGTCCTTGAGAACGAGGACCCTGGCCCCTGGGACAGCCCAGACCTCGGACAAGGAGAGCAGTACCTCGGCCTCCAGGCACCGGGATTCAAGGTGGCCTGTCCGCAGGGATGAGGTTTCCGCGGGACTGAGCAGCGGCCAGCGGCAATTACGGAAGCAGCAGCTCCTTCAGAGGCATCCCCTGAGCCGCCTCCTGCTCCGGAGGGAAAGGCAGATGTATGAGGCCACCAGAGCTGCCCTCACCCTGTCCCCCTGCTCTCCCCCTGCATCCGAGCTCGCCCACCCAGCCGAGCCTCTCCCTGCGATGCCCTAACTGGAACAGAAACAAATCTCTTCTTTGCACCAAATCTAGGGTTGTTTTTTTTCTTGTTGTTTTTCTTTTTTAAACAAATACAATTTGTTCGAGCTCAGGCCCATGAGCAAGACAAAGCGGGCAGCACCGGCAGCTCTCCCAGTCCTGCAAGGAGCAGCAGCAGCTCCCACCAAGGCTGAGCCAAGCGCCCTCACACCCCCAGCAGGGGCAGGGAAACGGCGTCAGGCAAACACGAGAAACCCTCTGCATCGTCTTCCTGTTGTGCTTCGAAAAAGGCAGCACCCCTGGAAGGGAATGGATCAGAGTAACTACAACCAGCGTTACAGAGGAAGAGACAGCTGCCCCCCGTGTGGGCTCAGCATCACACTTCGCATTTCCGATGCGATGCAGAGCCGGGGCGGCAGCACAAGCCTCCCACACAGGGCCCGGGGTCAGTCCCCTCTGCCCACTGTGGTGTGAGGTTTAAGGCATATTCCAGCCACCCTGAAAGGCCACAAAGAACACCGATAAGCCGAGGCTGTAAGGAGAAATTCTCCAGCCCAGGCGAGCAGACGCTCTGCTGGACCCACCAGCCTGGTGGGCTTCCAAGAGACTGCTTCACCCTGCCAAAAACCACGACCCAAGGACCTGAGGCCTGGCTCAGTGAGGGGGTGTGGGTCCACCCTCTGCAGAGCCCCCCCCCAGCTGCTCCCTCCCTCCTAGGCTCTCGGGGAAGAGGAAGAGCAGCAACTCAAAAGCACAAACTGTGACTGCCCTGGGACACAGGCTCTTGTTTGCCCCTCGGATCAGACATGCGGCCGTAAGGACCAGGCTGGCTATTTGTCGTGCTCTTGGAGAATCAGAGAAACCTTGGAGGCAGCTGGTGACCCCCAGACCAGGCTGAAAGGCAAAGAGCAGAAATGCTCGCCACAACAGCTCTGCCACGCTGCCCGCAGCAGTCCCGGCACGCCTGGTTAGGGCAGGGGCTCCCGCATCCCCCCTTCCGACACGGGAGCTGGGTGGCTGGCGGATGCCCCACGGCCGCTCCAAGGAGGAAGACGTTGAGCTGCAAAAAAACCCGCTCAGGCAGCAGCAGAGCAAGGCACGGCTCTCGGCCAAAGGGGTTGCCGGCCACCTGGTTGCTGCAGCAGAGAGCCCACCAGCCTGCCTGGCTGCCCCCGAGTCTCAGAACGGAGACGGGCTTTTCCACAGACACGACAGCAGATGCTGCAGTATAGATGGCTAGTATTTTCAATGAAAACGTTTTCAATGACTTTACAAATCCTCCTGCAGCAGTTCTGCAGATTGTGCCATGGGACAAGGTCAGAAGAAGAGGACTGGAGAACCACACCATACCAGAAGCCCATCACCTTTTCATCTGACCCCTTCCCTGCTGACACTCATTCTCACATCGAAGCTACTGACCGTCGTTGTCCATCAGGCGGAAACACCCCTGTGAAAATGAAGCAGGAGCCAGTTGTTGCCCTCACCCGCAGGGAAAGTGAGGCTTCTCGTGCCGCATGGGACCAGCCTGAGCTTATTTCCCTTTGCTGCCCTGCCCTTTTCAACCCATTTTAATAGCAGAGGACATTCCCTCCTCTCCAGGCCAGACTGCGTAAGCGCAGGAATGCCAAAGCTTCTTGCAGATGTTCCTCCATGCTTTCCCCACGAACCCTCCCTCGTGTCTTCACACCCGCTGAAGGACGAGATGAGACAGAAACACCGCAGAGCTGCTCCTCTCTTCCCTCCCCGCTTCTCCCTGAACTGATCCCTGCCAAAGCCAGCTCTGCCTGGTGCTCCCAGAGCGGTCCGGGGAGCCAGGGCCTGGCCTGATGCTACAGATGGGAAGGAGTTTCCACCAATATTCCCTTGCAGCCCCGGCCAGCTGGTTGTTTCAGCAGAAAGCCCACCAGTCTGTCTCGCTGTCTCCCGTTCTCTTAATTTAGACATGTTTTTCCAAAGACACGACAACAGATGCTGTGTTATAGATGGTTAGTACTTTCCATTAAAATGTTTTTAATGACTTTATAAATTCTCCTGCAAGAGCCCCATCTGAACTGAGCATCCCCGGGATTTATGCGCTTAATGAGCTCGCGAGGCAGAGCCACGCTGCCACGCTTCGGTTCCCAGGAGGGACTTTCGCAGGACCCCCCTTCCCTTCCGCAGGGCACTGAAACGCCGGGGCAGAGCATCACCAGCCCGCTTGCCCCGAAACAAGGAAGGAAAACTCCCCGCCCCACGAATCCATCCCCGAGCCGCTGCTCCGACAGCCAGATGAGGATTAATCTCTTGTCGCAGCTGAACCAAAAGCTTCTGAAGCGAAACACAGGCTGCTCAGACTTCTTCTGCCAGGACGTTTCTCCACAGGGCTGACATGATCGGTGGCACGGCAAGGGCCGTTCGCACCAGCTTGCCTCCGAAGTCCCTCAACCCCCAAACCCAGAGCTGGCCCACCGCGGGGACGGACAGCCCTGACCGAAGGCAGGGAGCTGCTGCGACTTCCAGCAGGAACGGGTCCGTCCCAGCCCACCCCCGTGGCTCCCATCCTGCGGGAGGGGGTCGGCAGCCCCCCGAGGGGCTGGGGCGGCGGCGGGCACGGAGAGAGAGGCGG